ACGAGCTGCAGCGCGCACAGCGCCAGCGCCAGCCCCGCGCACAGCATGCTCCGGGAATGCGCCGGGAACGGGCCGGGATGAGTCCGGGAGCTGCTCCGAGCGGTGGGGAGCCGACAGGAGGGCAGGCACCTCGGCGGGACCGGGCGGGCAGCGGCCGGTCTTTGAAGCCCCGAGCAGAGGGGACGAGCCCTCTCTCGGAGCCCGGCCCACCACCGCCCGATGCCACTCCCTCCCCCGAGGACGCTCACATTTTCCCTTCCCCTTTTGCTCTTTTTATTCCCCCCTCCCTTCCCCGGTTTCGCTGCCAAGCGCAGGACTGGACTCGCAGGGATGCTGGGACGGGAAGCGCCGCTTTCCCAAGATCCCAGAGCCGGCATTTGGAGCGGGGGGGCGGGAGCTGCACCCACCCCGCCGGGGCACACACATCACGCCGCCGCCATGGGGGAAGCACGACCACCTCCCCACCACCCACCCCTCCACCCCGGGCTGCGGCTCTCCGCACATCCCGCTCGGGGGTGCCCCGGCTGTGCGAGGGTCGGTACCCTCTGGGCGGTACCCGGGACCCCCAAGCTCCCCCCGCGCTCGGCACAGGGCAGGCGGCAGCTGAAGAGCAGAGATATCTGAGATATTTCAGATATTTGAGACCCTCACACCCGATGTGTGTGAGCAGGGGGGAGGGGACGCTGGCATCGGGTAGCCCCTGACTGGGCAGTTTGCCACAGCACCCCTACTCCCCATCTATGTAAATTGCTGGATTTATCATCCCCTCTTCCTTTCCTACCCCCCGTTTTGTGGATCATTTTCCAGACAAAGCTGCCCCAGGCACCCCCATCATGCTGGAATGGTGACACGGGTAGCCCTCCATCAGGAGTGGCACAGCAGCATGGATTTTCCCATGTATTTTGGTGGACAGATGCTTTTATCCTGCGGAGGGGACTGAGCCAGCTGAGCACACATGACACAAATGTGGCAGGTCTCAGCCCTCCCCCCCTGCCACAGCACGGTCAGGAGCCACTTGTGAGACCCTTCCCCACATTCAGCTCTGCTCTCCCTTGCACACGGACGCTGCTTGGCCTCCCCATATTGCTCCCAGCCCTGGGAAGGGTTGCCTGCCTTGTCCAAAGCCCCGTCTCAGCTCTATTTTTAGCCTTCCGTCCTTATTTAGCAGCGAGGCCGGGCGGCAGCGTGCGGCAGGGCGTGGGAGCAGGCAGGGGACGCGCTGGGCGCTGCTGCCCACCCCGAGCCCGCAGCGACAACTGCGCCGCCGATCCACTGCCGAGGCTCCAGGGTGAGGCATAAATAGCCCGCACCTCCCAGCCGGGAGCGGAGCGGAAAGTTATCCCCTGGGATTAGCTTTCACTTTGAGGCCCTGGAGCAGCCGGAGGACAGGGATAAGGATAGGGATGCATGGGGACACAGAAGGAGCATTGTGTTTCGGGCTGGGAGGGGAGCAGAGCCCCTCACCTCAAGCCACTGGTATCGTATGCTTTTCTGCTTCTCACGGCCATTGTGAGTGAAGGTTTCACTTCCCTTTCCCATCCTTTTCCACTTCATTTTGCCATGGGGGTAAAAAGAGAATAAAGGACTGCGAGAACAGGTTAACCCACATCTTTTTGCTTGGAAAAGCACAGGCAGGGACAGGAACGACTTGAAATCGTTTCACTACCTCAAGGCAGAATCATGTGTGACCTAAATCCCCACTAAAAGAGCCTGTGACTTTTTTGGGGCTCAAACACATGTGAGAACTTCTCCAATTCAAACAGTTTTTTCAGCTATCTCACCCATGCAAAATTGAGTCACGAGGTCTCAGCAGACCTGGTTAAACACCTCAGATTTGCATTGAAGAAAAGCAGCCAGAACATCATTACCTCTCATTTACAAAAGCAAACAGATGGGAAATGATGAGCAGGGTTTAACCACGACCACTCTGTCCCTTGCTTGGGCTGCAGCTCTACCAGGACCCATCAGGCATCACCACATGCCAGCTCATCACCCAAAAACCTTCCAGCAAAATATCTTCCACCTCTCTTTTTTTTTATTTTTCCAGACTAGGTTTCTGAAAATAAGACATACAAACAAGAAAAAAAAAATAATTACCCCATCTGCACTCACAGAACCACTCTGCAAACAGACCATGCCAGGCTGGCACTGACACTGCCTTGTACCCATCCTGTTGTGCCCAGTCCTTACCAGCTAGAACCAGAGAGAGAGCCACAAGAGACATTTCAACAGTTTGCACAAATGCTTTTCTTATCCAAAAGCTTTGGCAAACATTTTAAATGACCATTGGTACAAATTACCTCGACTTTCCAGCTGTTATCCCATTTGCGGCAATTCAGCCGAGCATGTGAGAAAGCCTCCTTGTCTCACTTTTCTAGACAAAGCCCTGGAGATGTCTCCAGCTGCTGTCATTCCTGGGGAGAGATCAAGATAACACCAAAAAAAGACATCAGAGCAAACTTCAAAATGAGCTGAAGCTGCCTCAGGTGGGGGCACCACACAACCTCTGCTTTCCTGGACTCATTTTCCTGTCTTTGCATGGCTTGAAATTCCCTCGCTCCCACAGTCCCCTTTTTCTCCAGCCTGCCTCATGCAGTCTCCAGGCCCTTCTGCTCCCCGGATCCCCAGGGTGCTCTGGTTACCCCTACAATGCCATGGAAAGCCCCTGCTTTGCTTAAAAGCAGCTGAACAGAACAATTTCTGGCTGTTAAAAGTGCTGCCCTGAAAAGGGAGCAAGTTTTCAGTGTATTGGGGCAGAGGAGGATAAAGCAGGGCTGAGATGAAAGACCAGTCTGGCAGGCACATATCCCGTGCAGTTTCCACAGGAAAGATTGGAGAAACTGAGGAATTACTAAAATCAAGCTAGGATAAGAGAGGTTTGGGGTAGCACAGGCAGGGCTTTTGGCAGGCAGCCTCACAAGTGCACCCACAGGCTGAAGGAAGGATATAACATGGTCTGGGCAGCCAAAAGGCAGCAATCTAGAAGCACAGGGCTGTCACAGCAGAGCCTGCAGCAGAGGCTGGGGATCTGGGGATGGGGGTGCTGCAGCTGGCCTTGCTGCACAGGCACATCCCCAAGCCCCAGCTCTGCCTTAACCTGATGTGACCAAACTGTTTTTTCTCCACCATCGTCATGAAAAATCCTACCAGGAGCCCCACTTTGTAGCACGGGGGCGTCCCCCAGCACCCCCTCAGCACCCCACAGTAAAAAGCTGAAATTTCCACCAGCACATGTGCAAACTACTGGCCTTTTGTGCACCAGCAAGATGTGATGGCAGTTGGACAGGCTCCTCATCAGCTGCCCACACAGTTGCTTCTCTTCCCAGCCACGGCCCCAGCGGCCCCAGCGATGTAAATTCAGCCTGGAAATCTGCATGTGCTTTGTGCTTGCCCCTGTAGGCCTTCAGTCTCTGAAGTCTGGACCAGGATTTTTAATTAACCCTGGAGAGGTGGAGAACAGCACCTTGCGCTTTTATCCCACAAACGATCTACTCAGCCCAAATAAGTACTCTCATGCAGGGAAGGAGACTTGCTCCACTCTGAAGTGCTGGGAGAGATAAGAACTGAGAGCTCTCGGTGGTTTCTGAGCAGTGGGAGCAGATGCCAGAAGCTTCTGTGACTCACAAAATTTCACTCAGGTTTGGCAGCAGCCACCCAAGCGGACGCAGGCAACTGGTCCCACCAGTCCCCTGGAGACTTGGGGCATCGTGGGCCTGCCCCTCACCTTCCCCACCCTCCCATCCAAGTGGTGTTTCACAATTTCCTCCTGTGCCAGGGTTACCAGGGCAAGAAAAACACCTCCAAGCCGAACGTGACAGGACAACCAGGCACCTCCACTCCTCCCTCGCTGCCCAGGCAAAATGCCAAGGTGTTGGCATCCCCAGAGCCGCGGGCTGCTTGGACTTCTCCCAGGGGATATTTGGAAAATGTCAGAATAGAAACTTGTTGACAAAAAACTTGCAATGTTTCCATACAGGCATGGCCTCGTGACCAGGTTCAAACACTCCAATTTCAGCAGTTCTGGGTAGCACCAATGGGTTTTCAGGTCACAATGTGTGGTCATTCAGGAATGTATAAAAATAATAATTTTTAAAAAGTACTTTAAAAATAAAATCAAAATAAAAACATTTGGAAGAACCTACCTTTCCTCACATTATTTTTTAGATGGGACGCTTTCAAATCCATGTATTTTTCCCTATGTGTTCAGGACCCACTTCCAAAGTCTAGGATTTCCCCCTGGAAAAGGGACCCTGGCTCCAGGCCCAGCATTTGGGGTGTGTGGGATGCTCAAGGGAAGGGTTATCAGGATGTAATCCCTCAGGTAATATGGATCACACCAAAACCCTCTCCAGCCAGCACGACGACCCCCAGAGCAGAGCTCCTGCCAGGAGCAACACCCCAAACCCACCACTATTCCACAAGTACCCCCACACAAGCTGAAACTTGATGGGGTGATGGCAAAAGGCAGATGGATTCTGCTTTCTCACTCTCATCCCTACTCCGAAGGGGGCTGGGGTGGGTTCAGCAGAGGCAGCCCCCTGAGCAGCTGGTCCTGCTCCCACCCCAGCCCTGGTGCAGGGCTCCTGTTCCCCTTTCTCCTCGCCCAGGAGGGGACACCTCCAACGCAGGGGTCCGGCTCTCCCTATCCCACACCCACCACGGAGCATCCTCAGTGCAGGGGGCCGTGGGACCGAGCATTCCCGCAGCACCCCGGCCCAGGGCGGGGACACCCCGGGGTGGAGGGGGCGCAGGGCCGGCCCCGGGGGCGGGCAGGCTGCGGCCGGGGGCCCTGCCCGCGGCTCGGGGGTGCAGAGCACCCTCTCCCGGCGCTGCCTGTCAGCAGCTGCCGGACGTTTTTATTACTTTTTTTTTTTAATTATTTTTTTTCTGCCTGCCAGCTGGGGCGGCTCATCCCGTCCCGTCCCGTCCCGGAGCGGTGCCGCTGGCCGGGGGATGCCGCGCCCCGCGCCCCGCGGCTGAGCGGGTCCCGCCGGGGCTCCATGGGCTGCGCCGGCAGCGCCCTGCGCTGCTGCCCCGTCGGTGCCGAGGTAGCGGCTGCGGGGGCTTTGGGGCTGGGCTGGGCTTGGGCTGGGCTTCTCTCGGGGTCGGGGCTCCGTGGGGTCGGGCTCTCGTGGGAGCGAGTGCACACGTTGTCGGGGCTCGATGGAGTTGGGGTTCGCGCGGAGCTGATGTTTGCGGGGAGTCCTGCTCGCACTGCTGGGGACGTGGGGTGCTGGGGCACCCGGCGTGGGTTCCTCCCTGTCCCGGGAGCGATGGTGCCGGGCGGTGTGGCTGTCCCCGGCTGTGTGGGACCCCACGGGCATTGTGGAGGGGGAGGTGGCAGCGGGGACAATGAAAGCTGGCAGCCACCCGCCCTCCTGCATCCTCCTGCACTCTGCTGCACCCCTCCAGGCTCACCCCGACATCACGGGGATTTTATAGTTAACGGGGTGCAGGATCTGGGATGATGATGCCTGTTGGAAATGCTGGTCCTATAGATGACAGGGATGGGTTCCCCCAGCTAGTCCTTTGCCAGCTTCCCACAGCATCCTCCCTCATCCCAAAGGCTGTGTCCCCTTGAGCTGAAGGCATCGCTCCTGTAGGGGAACACTCTGAGTCTCCTCAGATCTCAGCACGTTGCCCTGTACTGAAAAGCTCTTCAGCAAGGTCTGAAATTATCTGCTGATTGTTATTATCATTGTTATTGTTATTATTTGATGTGCTCATGCTGCCCCAGTGCCTCACCACTGACCTCGGGAGATGTTTTTGCTGTTGGATGTGCTGTGCTTACTGCTGTTGCTGTTGTGATTGCTGGAGGGTGGCAGGGGAAGGAGGGAAGGCAGGAACACCCCTGGCACGGGTGGCCCTTTGCAGTTCGAGCTGTGAGAGTCCCCACTTGGGAGCACAGAACCCACTGCAGGATGTGCAGGGGGAGCAGGCACGGGGCTCACATGCATCCAACAAGTGCCTTTATTTACAGCACTTGCAGGCTTGGTCGCTTCTCCACATCATGGAAAAAATCCCACTCTATGCTATGCCATAAGATCAGATATTTCTGGGCTGGTTTGTGACTCTGAGAGCTCTCAAGAACAGGCAGAGGACAGGGTGAAACAACAGCCCCAAGGCCCCAGGTGCTGAGAGCCCCACATTCACCGAAACACGGAAATTTGTCATTTGCCTACAGACGTCTCCCTTCCTGCACTTGCCCGCGCTCGAGCTCTGCTCAGCCCTGTGTCACCAACAGTCATTACCCATAAACAGCCCTGCTGCTGTGACTGAAAGTCATTCTGAAAGAAGCACTTAAAATCCCCATTACGGCTTAAAGGCATAAGGGCAGGCGTGGGGCCACTCCTGCCCATATTCTCATGTCCAGAGTACCAAAAGGCAGGAGGAGAGACCTTCACCTTCCATGCTGATGGGTGGATTTGCAAAGTTGGTCCCTTGAGGTTGCTTGGGGTTAGGGGAGACTTCAGACCCCAGGGATAAGCCCATCCAGAAGGCATGTGCAGGTCATGGGGCTGGGCACTCTAATGGGGCTGGGGGCTGCAGAGGCTTTAGAAGCCAGTCCCAGGTTTGAGGTGACCTTGAGGAGCTGGTGCTGGGCTGGGTCTGGTGGGTGGATGACATACCAGGAGCCACTGTGTGCCCTGGGGGAGTGCCTTGGCAGCCTCATCCTTCCCTGGCACCAGTCTGCGGGCAGCAGGGCGATAAGGGAGGCACAGAGAGAACCCAGCCCTGAGCTGTGGGTGCTGCCCCTGGGGTTTCCTTCCCCTTCAGCTCCATCCACCCCTGCTTGGCCACTCACGGTCACCGCTCGCGCTTTGGTCACGCTCCTGGCGTGAGAGAGGCCAAGTTGCCTTCCCAAAAGTCAGGGCTGAGGTTTGGCCGCCTTCCAGGGCTGGGGTGAATTTATTTTGAAGTGCTAGGAACTGTACGGAGCACCAGGAGTCAGGGAAGGGTCAGAATGCAAAACTCGGGGCTGTCAACAGTGTGAAGTGTTTGCCTATGGTCTTCGGCACAGATCTGACTGCAGGAGAGGTGATAATCACCTCCCAACACAACCATCACCATCGCTGGAGGAAACACAGCAGCAGGGTTAGAAACAGGTCCCACGGAGCTGTGCCAGCACTGCTCTGGCAGCGCTGAGCATCGGCTGCAGGTCCTGGGAGGTGTTGCAGTCGTGGGCCAAATCCTGGCCCCCTTCCCCACAGCCACAAAGCAAAGCCTCCTCCCCAGGAGCGGAGTCAGGATTTAAATACTCATTTCCTGCCTCTTTGTGATTTCCTTTGCTAGGTTGCATGGTTGAATTGCTTAATGTACTTGTAAAACAGGAAAAGAGGAAGAAAAATACAGTCCAAAACCGCACCTCACACTAAGAGCTGAAGCAGAGGCTGCAGCCACCCCGGCTGCCCACACTGTGCCAGCTGCTCTGCACTGGTGCTCCCCACCCCAGAACCCTTGGAGATGACTCAGGTCCTGTTGGAAATCCCTATTAATCCATCCATAAACAGTTCTGCTCCAGACTATTAGAAATATTTAGTTCCAAGAATGTAGATACTTTTGGTTTTTCATAGCTGGAAGGTATTTTTGGCAGAGGTTCCCAAGAACTTACAGGATAAGCTACTCTGTGGATGGCCCCCACCTGCAGGATGTATCAGGCTGCTTTTTCCCTGGCCAAAGCTGTTCCAGCTGGAGCAATTCCCAACCTGCTCCTTGCACACACTGTGGATTCCAGGATGATTTTCCAGCTCTCCAAAATGCATCAGGCGATACCAGAGGTTTGGGTGCCGCAAAGCTTCTCTGGAAGTGACAGTGGAAAGTCCCTCCATATTTCAGAGCTTTCAGCCAAATTTTGCTGTTCACCCCAGAGGTGGAGCTTTTATTCCAAAGGACAATTGAGTGCTTATGATTAAAATTAGCTCTAGATGCTGTTTTAATTGCTCCTAGAGGTAGGAAGGTGCCTCACTCATAGCCTCAGGGCAAGTACTTAGATTTGTCTGTTGATGCTGGTGAACCTGTTGCTCGCTTCACCTGTTTCTGAATTCAGTGCTGGTGTCTCAAATCATCTTCCTTTAGAGACTGAGGGGCTCTGAGGTCCCATCCTGCTGGATTTGGGGTGTGGGGGAGAGGTGAAGATTCCCTGGGTGTGTGCTGCGGACATTGCTTGTGCTATAGAGGTCACCAGCCCTCAACTCTCTGTCCTTAGGCATCACTTATGCCAGTGAGCAGGACAATTGCAGCAGAGGTGGTTTGGTTTGGGGGTTTGGGGTCCCTCCTGGAGGTGGTAACAGCATCCTGCTCTCAGCTCTGCTGAGATCACCCAAAACCCTTGAGGTGTGTGTCACCCCCCTGTGTCAGCAGGGTCCTCCTACACAGACTTTGAAAAAGAGGGGGGGATATGGGGTGTGGGGCTAGGGGAGAAGGCCTTTTAGGACTCCTGCGATGCCCTCAGGACTGCAGAGCCTCAACTATCTCATTTATCTCTCCCCTTGCCCCCATCCCCTGACTTCAAAACCCCTCACAGGACCGGGATACGGTAAATGCCAGGGAGATGCGCGCTGCCACGAGGCGTGTCAGGGGACAGGCAGGGATTCCTGCGGACACTTTGCAGTCAGGTGTGCCAGGATTCAGCAGCATCCCAGGGCACCCCTCGCTTTCTGGATGAGCTGCATGGACAAGGAGAACGAGCCCTGTGAGCTCGGACTGCCGGCTGCCTCCTCACCCCCTCGCCTGGGCCGCATTCAACGCCGCGGCTGCTCATGCCATAGAAGGGAAGATAAAGCCGTGGCTTCCCAGAGCCTTGGAGCTCTCCTGCTCGCTGGAACTGCGCCTCCCCCCAGCTCCAGGAGGGGGGCTGCAGGGGAGGCGGGGACAGGGGCGGCTGTTTGCTTTCCCGTGCTTTTTCCCAAGCCAGGCTCCCTAATCCGGGCTGGATTTGGCCGCGCCGCCGTGCGGGGCCGAGCCGGGGAGCAGCCGGCACAGGGCTGCTCTCAGGGATCGGGATTTTAGGGACAGCTCTGCCGGGGGCTGGAGGGCAGCTCCGTGCCTTCAGGTGAATTTTCTCACTCCTCGTGCACCTATGCAATATCCAGAAGCACATCTCAGTGATGGGAATCAGGGACCAGATTTGCCCTCTGCCAGCGAGGCCGAGCCGAGAGCCTGCGAGCTTTGCTTCTATCTTTCAGCAACTGATAAAAATATATCCACTTTTTTTTTTTTTTTCTTTTCTCCCCTCCAAGTAACTAAATTAATCCCATGCAGGGCTGGAAGGCATCCCACGGAGCCGTGTTGCTGGAGGCAGCTCCCGGCTCTGGGTTATCTCAGCCCCAAGGCAGCAGTGGCAGCGTGCGGGGCTGTGCAGCGCATTCCTGCGCTCCTGAGCTCATTGCTTGGCCGCCTGCTCCCGCCTGCTGCCAGCCCTGCACAGGGGCTGGACCGCCTCTGATTTATGGCTATTTCTCATTTCTCACTCCTGCTCCAGCTGTGTCAAAGCCCATCTGTGTAAGGCCCTGGCAGAGCCCTGTGTTTGGGGGGCTGCAAGGTGCCAGGGACCAGACTGAGCTGAGCGTCCCAGGACAGGAGGAGGGTGGCAAGGGAGTGCCAAAGCTGGGCCCTGCCAAGTGCTGCCTGCTCTCCCCCACCAAAAGTTTTGCTAATGGAGCCCATTTTGCACCAGCACCGTGTCGGTGGGGGTGGCATCCCCCAGGTTTTCCAGCTGAATGCTACCTGGTGATCTTTCTGGGATGCAGGGAATCGGCATGAGCTTGAGGCTGCCTGATGGGCAGTACATGCACACCCATGGGTGCCCAGTGCTGGGAGAGGGCAGGGGGCTGGGGAGGGGCCGCTGCTCCACCAGGACCTGTGTTTTAGCAGGGCTGATGGGGGCTCAGTGCAGGGTGTTCTCTGCCTGCAGCCACCTGCCCCACTCTGTTCCCCCCTGCTCCAGCCCCCTCTCTCTCTGCCAGAGACAGCTAAAAGCCCAGCAGAAGAGGGGATCGGCTTCCCAGGAACTCTCAGTCTTGAAGACACAGAATGGTGAGGAAAAAATGTGTTTTCCCCCTGCTTTGCTTTCTCAGAGTGATATTAAGGAAGCAGTGGTCAGGCCCCAGCATGGCACCAGGGAGGATGGGGAGGATGGAGGTGCACGATGGTGCAGGAGGGAAAACAGAGCATCCCAGAGACAGCAGCATCCCCTCCTGTCAGTCAGACAGATCATCCCCAGAACAGGAGACCTGACAAGCTCTGTGTGCTCCCTGAGCCTGGCAATACCATCCCAATTTGGGCTAATTTGGACCAGAGGGATGGAGAAGGGTGTTTCTCCAGTGGGAGGAGGGCAGTGCTGAACCCGGCCCATGGCACTGGCAGGTTCAGCTGCCCAGGGTGTGCAGGCAGCCCAGCCAGGGGGCGGCAGCCAGCGCTGCTTCAGCCGGATTTGTCCCGCAGCCAATGCCTGCCTGCTTCCTGAGCACGGCGAGAAGGCAGCGCGGCCAGAGGAGTGGGCAGAGAGTGCGAGATTCCTCCGAGGCCAGGAGGAGGAGGAGGAGGAGCAGGATGGCGGCCAGGCAGGCACTGCCAGCATCTCCCAGGACATCGAGATCCAGGTGAGCTGGAAGAGCTGGTGCTGCTGGAGGCAGCAGCTGGGCATGGAGTATGTCACCAGCCTGGTCTTCCCTGGCACATGCTGGGCTCTCCCATTTTTGGGAGAAGGACAGGTCTAAGAAAAGGTGAGGAAGCCCAAAGCAGTGAAGCTCTGCATCTCTCACACTGAGATTTCTCATCCAATTGCTTCCCAGGTGGAAAAGAGAAACGAGCTGGAGCTGAAGGAACAGCTCGATGCCCTGAGGAGGGAGCACACAGAAACCCTGCAAGGTGTGTGCCAGGGCACTGGGGCTCCCTGCAGCTCCCCTTTCCTGCTACTGCCCTGTCCCTTTGGCTGCCTGTGGGGCCATGGGGATGCTGTTCCCTGCTCTCCACCTCTGTGGGGCTCAGGTGGAGCCAGCTGCCCCAATGTCCCCACACTGGTGGCACTCAGCTCATGTTCCCCCACAGAGCTCCAGGGAGCACACGAGCAGGAGAAGCTGCTGCTGACAGAGTCCCATCACAGGTCTGAGGCAGCCTTACAGGTACCAGCAGAGAAATCCCTGGGGAGGGGGGCTTGTGGAGGGCTTGAGGACCATCTGCTGGTTCTGCCATGGTGCCCCACATGGCCACCTCAGTCCCTGGTGTGCTTGGGGACTGCACCAGCTCCTCCAGCCCTGGTGTTATTTGGGTACCACAGCCCAGAAAGAAATCCCAGATACCTCTCATTCTGCTTTTTCCCCCTGGTTCTCCTAGGAGAAAATTCAGGCACTGAATTCCCAGCTGAAATCCTTCCAGGACAGGATGAAGCGGGTGGAGGAGTCACTCTTGAGAACAGACTACAGGAAGCTCATCCAGGTGCAGGGAGAGTGGCAGGGAGGGACCTGCTATGGATGCTGACCCAGAGCCAAGGGGCCTCTCTGATGGACCCTGGCAGGGGGGGCTGGAACCAGAGGGGAGCACAGGACAGCTGAAGGGGGGAGCAAAGCCTGTCCTGGGGGTGTTGAGCTCCCTTGGACACAAGTGATGGCCCTGCAGGAGCACGGGAGCCCCAGCCCGTTCTGGGAGCAGGAGCTGGAGAGCCTGCACTTCGTCATCGAGATGAAGAACGAGCACATCCACGGCCTGGACAAGAAGCTGCTGCACCTGGAGACCGTGGTGGGTTGAAAGGGGGGGTCACAGGTGGGCTTTCCTCTTTTCAGCTCCTCCACCCACCTAAATTCTGCCCAGAAACTGCAGCTGGAGTAAAGGTGGATGGAGCCCATTTCCTCTCTTGGCATGGGGAGGGGATGGGTGAGCAATGCCACCAGGCCAGCATTTCACCCAAAATGGGTGGCAAGGGGCTCAGCAGTGCTTCCCGGCTCTCTCCTCACCCTCATGCCCCCTTCCAGGAGGAGAAGAACCTTCAGCTGGAGGAGAAGGTGAAAACTCTCCAGCAGGAGAACGAGGACCTGCAAGTTCGCACCCAGAACCACTTGGTCATGGCGAGGTGAGTGCTGGTCCCACCCACCGGGGCACAGGTGACTGCTGGAGGGGACAGCTGGCAGTGTGGGAGCACATTGCAGCCTGCGGTGCCACCGGGTGCTTTGCAGGGAGCAGAGGGGCTCGTGGGCGCTCAGGCTGTGCCCTCAGCCTGTGCCCTGTGCCCGCAGGCAGCTCTCCGAGGAGCTCCAGGCGGCTCGCGGGGCTCTGGAGAAGGAGGCGCAGCTGCTGGACCAGGCTCGCCGGGAGAAGGAGGAGCTGCTGTACCGAGTGCTGCACGCCGGGGACGGCGCCGCCTTCCCCATGGCCACCGGCGAGGTGCCCCTCATCGCCACGTAGCACCGGCGGCACCGGGGACTGCGGGGCTGCCCTGCGAGCCCGGGGCTGCTCTCACCGGGGCTGCTCTCACCGGGGCTGCTCTCACCAGTGCCCCCAGTCGGGGCAGGGCTCCGGGCTGGCCGAGCCCTCGGGGCGCCTCACGGACCGCAGTGATGGAGCCTTTCGCGGCAGTGATGGAGCATTTCACGGCAGTGATGGAGCATTTCACGGCACTGATGGAGCATTTCACAGCACTGATGGAGCATTTCACGGGACATTTACTCCTGCATTTCCCCAGCCCGTGTGGGGCTGCAGAGGGACCCTGGCCTCCCACCCACGCAGTCCCTGCACCCCTTGCTCTGGTGAGGGGGTGTCTAGGGGTTAAAGGGGTCAGCCAGGACACACAGACTTGCTTTGGGCCAGATCTGACCCAGCACTTGGCTCTGAATATAAACAGCACCAGTGCTGCCCCAGGGCATGAGGACAATGAGGAGGCCACTAGGACAAGCACCAGGAGGATGAGGAGGGCACTGGGGACATGGTGTTAACCTCACCAGGCAGGGCTCCCACCCTACTATTCCCATCACCTCCTCCACCTTCAAAAAATGTCCCCCAGGTACAGCTCCTGCAGCTCAGGCATGTCCCAGCTCACAAAGACCCCAAGCCCTACTTGTCCCTGCTGCCCATCAGCAGCACCACCAGTCCCATCTCCTCCCCCAAAAGCTGGAGCAGCACATCAGGGAGAAGAGCATCCTCCTGCAGGTACCAGGCTTTGGCAGGTCACACCCTCTGCTCCAGGCAGGGCATCCCCAGCAGGGCAGGTGCTGCCAGCAAGGCTGTGGGTCAGGGCTGGATGCACACAAGCACTTTCCCCTGGGTGCACCAGTGTGGTGGGAGTCACTGCTCTGGGGCTGTCATAGGCTGTCCCCTCCCTCCCCAGGGCTGTTTAACCAGAGCTGTGCATGTGGGTGTGTGTGTACATGTGTGTGGGTGTGTGTGTGCACCAGCCAAGGTGCTGCTGGCTGTCAGGATTACAGATCTGGAAGAAGCAGCAGCCTCAGCAATCCCATGTCAGTGGTTTGAGGGACTGGTGCAGGAGCATCCCAGAATGGGGGTTTGTGTTCTCCACACCCCATACATTGGGGACAAGGGGAAGGGTGGCACCACAAAGTCTCAACAAGGAAGCTCCAGATGAGGCCCTTAAGGCTGATCCCCATTTTCCTGCTCCTTTTCCTTCCTTTCAATGGGCTCCCAGCTCAGGGCAGACCCAGGCCCTCCCAGCATCAGGGCCACTGCAGCAGCCACTTCCGTCCTTTGTGCTGACCCTAATCACAAACACAGGAGCTGAACGGGCAGCCAGGAAGGCAGCGTGGATGTGGGGTCCAGCTCTGACCCACACACCCCCATGGGGTGGCCACAGTGGGAAATGGGGGAGCCTGTTGCGTCAGAACCATGTCCCACCAGGGCACCCTCTGCTCCCCACACCATCTGTGCCTCCCCCAGGTGCTGTAACACACAGCAGGGATAGCCCAGCAAACCCTGCCTGGCTATGGCTGGAGGAATCAGGATTTTGGGACAAAGGGATGTGAGCTGGTGGGCTCTGGGATGCTGCTCTGGACACCTGGTACCACATCCCAGAGCCCCACAGGCAGATCCTGCGTGGGACGTGGAAGAATGTGCCCGACTCTGGGAAAGGGGACACTGGGAACTGAGGAGGAGGAATAAATGAGTGCAGAAAAGGACTTGCACACTCTGAAGGGGGAAAGCCTGGACCAGGCAGTACCTTGGCAGTCATGGGGGGGATGATAGCAGCTCAGGCTGGGTGCCCAGGTGAAATGGAGGGTCAGGGCAGCACAAGAGGCCTCTCCACCTCATTGTGAGCAGCTGAAGGAACAGGGTGGGCAAGGGGCCTGTGGGGGGCTGCAGGGAAAGGTTTCAAAGGAAAAAAAAACCACAAAAACACTCCCCAGTAACAACAGCAAAACCACTTGTGTGCTTTATCCTCTCCAAACAGAACTCTGTCTGCAGGGGCTCGCTGTGAGGATTTGGGGTGCTCAGGGAGGTTCACCAGACTCGGGGCAGCAGCTCCTGCAGCTCTGGCAGGGCTGGGCCCCTCTGTGGGACAGGAGCCACAGCCCAAGGGGCTTCCCTGGGCACAGGCACAAGATGGAGGGAGCCAGGCCCTTCCCTGCCCCTGGGCGCAGGGTGGAGGGAGCCAGGCACTCAGGAACTGGCCATCCCCTTTCATTGCCCCGGAGCAGATGGGCACAGGGCAGTGCCACGGGGCTCCAGGGGCACCTCCCTGGCTCTGCTTTGGGGCAGCTCCTGAGGACCTGTCCCTTCAGGCCAGGGGCTCTCAGTGCTGTGCCAGATCCCATAGCCAAAGTAAATGAGGAAACCTGGGAAAGGGCAGAATAGGGTGTGAATGGGCTGCTTCTCTTCCTTCCCCTCCCAGCCACCAAGCGCTGGCCCCTTCCTTTGGGCCACATTTCAGAGGACACGGTGCTCCCACCACTGCCGGACATCAAGGGTCAGCATCTCCTCCCTCCCCACCACTGCTCAGAGCAACATTGGTGCCTCAAACCACCAGCCCTCCCCCCAGAGGGGCTGGAGGCAGCTCCGCGGCCTCGGGAGGGGCCGTGCTCACCCGCGGCCATCCAGAGCAGGTACCGCAGCCAGGGGGCCGCGCTGAGCCGGGCCAGCAGCACAGCGTTGGTGGAGATGCTGAGGAGAGGCAGGAAGGGCAGGCAGGGAACCTGCAGGGTAAATTCCACAGCTAAATGCAGCTCTTTGTTGCTCTGGCTGGTTGTCCACAGGCAAGGGGAAGCCCAGCCTGGCTGTGAGGCTCAGAGATCCAAGCTGGGGCTGCAGCCTGTGCTGGAGAGGGATGCTTGGGAGGGTGTTTTGGTTGACAGGTCCTACACTGGGGCAGGAGGTACTGCAGGATTTGAGGTGAGAGGCAACAAAGCACTCATAAAAGTAAGCCAAGGTGTTAAGGCCAGTATCTTTTTACTGAAGAGCAGCCCTGGTTCCTCAGCTGGGAGATGCTCCTTCAGCCCATGGAGGGAAGAACCCTCATGGTCCCTATGGAAAACCCCATGAGCCACATGCTGCCTCCAGCAGTGCCTCATTAATGTGGATGCAGCAAAGATGTGCCTGACCTGCAGCTGAGGGAACAGCCCCAAATGGCCCTTTCCTCACAGGGCTGCAGCACCTGCCTGCTCTCTGTGCCCCAGGTACATCCTGAGGGTTGGGCTGGGTGCTCACCACGAAGGATGCCTTGTCCTGGCTCTGAGGCTGCCTCCAGATGAGAAGAGCTGCTGCCAGGATCCCCAGGAGAGACAGGGCCAGGGCTGTGATGCACCAGGCACCCCCAGCCCGCAGGCAGGGCAGCCCAGCAGAGCTCACCCAGCCCAGGGCACAGGCCAGGGCAGCTGCAGAGGGAGAACAGTGTCAGGGCAGCTCCCCTGGGCTGTGCCATCCCTCTGCCAGGCTGCCATGGGGGACAAATGACAACTGGGGGACACGGCTGGGTGGCTTCTCATGGTGGGTTTGGCTTTTCTCTCCCTCTGGGAGGTTTCCTGAAGTCCCATTGGGGCAGTGGGATGAGGGCTGGAAGGAGCCGTGCAGCCCCTGCATCTGCTGCTGGGTGGTTTCCACCAGGCCAGCCCTTGCTATGGCAGGGATGTCCCCCCTGGGTCCCCCAGGCCAGCTCCCTTAGAGCCCATCCATCATCCCAGACACACCTGCAGCTGCCAGAGCCCAGACCACCAGGGCAGAGGAGCGCGGGGTGGGATGGGGGGGTGACTGCACCAGGTGGTTCCACCATGGCTGCACAGCTGGGACCTTCCCCACAGGAGGGTCCCGAGCGCTGGGCTCAGGCCGGTACCTGAGGAGCAGACACTGGGTGTCAGTGCACACAAACCTGCACCTGCCCTGTCCCAGAAGCTGGCTGAGCCCTGTCCCCTGTCCCAGCAGTCTCACCTGAGCAGCAGCACACAGGCAGCCACCATGGAGTAGGCCAGCAGTGTGCCAATGGACATGGTGTCAACCAGGGCTTTCAGGTCGAAGAGAAGGGCCAGGAGAGCTGGGGAGAGGAGAAGCCCTTTCAGCCTCTGAGCAGAGCTGGCAGTGCTGCTGTGCCCACCTCAGTTCATATTCTCCTGACTCCCACTGCAACACAACCTCAGTGGACTGGTGGTGCTTTGGTCACTAGCACAAAGCATCCTGTCACCTCCTGCCTGGCGGTGCAGAGAGGCTGGGACTCCATCAAGGCCAAATGGTCCTCACCCACCGTGAGGAGATTTGTCTCTGGGTGAAGAGACAAGGCTCAAACAGCTGCACTAAAGCTAGAGGGAAGGAGGACACCCACCAAAGCCTGCTCACAGCTGAGGGTGACCCAAGCACTCACCCACCTGCCACTGCCCCCGACACCAGAGTTGCCACCACCGGGCACTGACGGCGACTGACTTGGGCCAGAGGCTGGAAGAGGAGCCCGTCCCGAGCCATTGCATACAGGATCCTTGGCATGGGGAACATGGAGCCCAGGAGGCTGCATGAGACAGGGGAAGACACGGGGGAGAAGAGGGGAGGAATGCAGGAGGTGCCATCCTGCCTTTTGCCCCTCCAAGGGAGCTCCCATTCATCTGTATGGCCCATAACCTTCTCAAGACCATCTAACAACATCATCACCTTCCTCACCATCAGATGAGGGACAGTGTCAGGGAAGAGATGTCTGCAGTCACCTGTGCATGCCAGAACACCCCAGCTCATCCTTGTGGACATGGTGCCACCTGGCCACTTCCTTCAGTGGCATGCCAAGGGCTTTGGCTGCTCTCCCTGATCAGGAAGGGCCAGGGTGGGAACATCCTTGTGTGGAAGGGATTTTAATCAAGCAGGAAAGGCAAGGAGGAATTCAGGAGGGAGGGGTTGGGGATATCTCCTGGATGTGTTCAGCTCCAGTAGCTGCTCTGAAACACAGAAATGCCATCAGAGGATGCCCCTCACCTGGTGGTCAGGGCACACAGTGACCCCACAGCCACAGCATACTTTGCACTGCTCCAGCCAATGTACTCAAAAGCCACTGGCAGAGGGCTCGTGGTGTCCAGCAGGTAGTAGGGCATCATCAGGGTGAGGGCAGCAGACACCCCAAAGTAGGCCAGGAAGCAGATGAGGAGGGAGAGAATGATGCCCATGGGGATGGATCTCTGCGGGTCCCTCACTTCTTCCCCTGGGGAGAACAAGCTCAGCTGTAGGAACAGAGGCTCATTTAATGTGCATGGCAGGCTAAGAGCCCAGCACAGGCTGGAGAGAAGATCCCATATCCCCCCAAGAGAGGACACAGAGACCTTCTAGCAAGGACCACTGGATGTTCTGGGCCCCAGGGATATTGGGATAGAGAACGTCTCTGCTCCAGGATTAGCCCAGACATTCCACGAGGACTCAGGAAAGGCAGGAGAGGGTGGCTGCAGCACAGAGCTGGGAATGTGCCCAATTCCCAGCCTCACACCAGTTCCCAGCACTGTGGGGACAGTCACTGCCAGCCCACCCTGCAGGGAGGGTCCCACCAGCAGCACCCCCACCCCAGTTACCTGTGGTAGCAATGCAGTCAAACCCAACAAAGGCATAGAAACAGGCAGAGGCTCCAGCCAAGGTGCCAGTGAAGCCATAGGGCATGAAGCCTCCCACCCCAAAGGCACTGGTGATGTTGTCAGCCATGGACTGGTTCCTGGGGAGGAGGAAGAAGAGCCAGGCAGTGCAGAGGGGTCAGTGCAAAGAGGTCCCAGGATGGGGTCAAGCTGAACATCCAACCCCCTCAACCCACAGCATCAACCCAGCAGGGCTTTGACTCTTTGGCACATTGCCAACAGGGAGAAACAGAGAAAGTGGTGTCTCCTGGGATAAAACTGTGTCTCCTGGCATAAAGCACTGACTCCCCACCCCACTCTGAAGGCAGCACAGGGAGAGTGAAGCCCCTCATACCCAGCCTCCTGGGCAGCGGTCTGTGGCAGGTCGTCCTCCCTGAGCCTCCAGTTGCTCATGTGGCCTTTGATGAAGCCACTCACTGTGACAAAGAGCAGGACGAGCACATTGAGAGCTGTGAAGGCTTTGTTGACCATGGTGGACTCCTTCACTCCAAAGCAAAGAAGCGCTGGAGAATAAAAAATCAGAACTGGATGAGGTCCTGGATGACATCAGGGTAGACATTCCTGGGGAGGGTGGAAAAGGGGGGCAGTGGTAAATTCAGGACAACTTGCAGATTTCCCCAGATTCCCTTTCCATTCCCCATTCTTTGCTCAGGGAAATGGCAAAGCCATCAGAGGGGTCAGCCCCATCCTGAAGAGCCCACAGTGGGGTGAGGAGCTCATCCTACCTGATGGAGGGTGGCACAGGGGGAAGCATCCTACCTGCCAGCAGGACCACCAGGCCAGCAGCAAAGGCATCTGGGTGCTCTGCCAGCCCCACAGAGGTCATGGCTGCATGAGCACCCAAAAACCTCCCCATCCTCTTGCCGAGGAGCTGGTCAAAGGTAGCGCTCCAGGCCCGGGCAACGCTGGCAGTACCTGGGGAGAGGGGATGGCTGTGGTCTGGTCCTGTGAGGTCTCAAAGGACACCCAGCAAAGCCACCAACACATGGTGAGGAAGATCAGGAGGGCCTTGTACCGATGACAGAGGACAGCAGCAGGTTCCATCCAGCCAGGAAGGCGCAGAGCTCACCCACTGTCACGTAGCTGTACAGGTAGGCAGAGCCAGCCAGGGGCACTCGGGCCCCCAGCTCGGCGTAGCACAGCCCTGCCAGGGCAGACACCACGGCTGCAATCAGGAAAGAGAGCACGATGCTCGGGCCAGAGCTGCTCTTGGCCACCTCCCCTGCCAGGACGTAGACCCCAGCCCCCAGCGTGCTGCCCACCCCCAGCGCAGCCAGGTCCAGGGGCGAGAGGCAGCGGCGCAGGCTGGAGCCCCCCGGGCCGGCCGGGACTCGCTTCCTGCGGGACAGCAGCCGGGGAACGGAGCGCAGCCGGCCCCAGCACGGCACCTGCAGGACGGGAGAGCGGCAGCAGTGAGGGCACTGCTGCCACACTGTGTGCTGCCACTCTGTGTGCTGCCACACTGTGTGCTGCCCCACTGTCTGCTGCCACACTCTGTGCTGCCACACTGTCTGCTGCCACTCTGTGTGCTGCCACACTCTGTGCTGCCACACTGCTGCCACACTGTGTGCTGCCACACTGTCTGCTGCCACTCTGTGTGCTGCCACACTCTGTGCTGCCACACTGCTGCCACACTGTGTGCTGCCACACTGTGTGCTGCCACACTGTCTGCTGCCACACTGTGTGCTGCCACACTGCTGCCACACTGTCTGCTGCCACACTGTGTGCTGCCACACTGTCTGCTGCCACACTGTGTGCTGCCACACTGCTGCCACACTGTCTGCTGCCACACTGTGTGCTGCCACACTGCTGCCACACTGTCTGCTGCCACACTGTCTGCTGCCACTCTGTGTGCTGCCACACTGCTGCCACACTGTGTGCTGCCACACTGTGTGCTGCCACACTGCTGCCACACTGTCTGCTGCCACACTGTCTGCTGCCACACTGTCTGCTGCCACACTGTGTGCTGCCCCACTGTGTGCTGCCCCACTGTTTTCTGCCCCACTGCTGCCCCACTGTTTTGCAGAAATAAACAAAACTCCACAACTTTTGTGAAAGTTGTAAAGCTGGAATGTTTGTTACAGCGCTGGACACATGTGGGAATCATTCCTTTAAAATGACATGTGTACTTCTGGGAACTTCAAGTCCCTTTTTATCCCCTCTCAAATACACATGCATACAATTTCACAATAGGTTCATACAGATTAATTTTTACGAATTTCGCATGGCATTTGCAGCTAGTTCTTCTTTATCAGAAAGAATTCCTAGGTCAGGTTGACCTGCTCTCACAGCAGTCTCTCTGTCTCTCTCTATCACCTTCTGTCTCCCCCCCTTCATCTCTGTTTCCACTGAAGCAGTTTCTCTGAGCCCAGGCTTTTGCAGTCAGGCTACACAGCAAGCTACACACTTAAAGATGTACATTCCACCTAAATCAAAATGGATTTATACCCAGGAAAATTTCTATTCTGCCTCACCCACTGACCACCCTGATGTGACACAAACCCAGACTCAGTGGTGGCCTTGCAGGTCCCACCATCCCCAGTGCTCCTGCACTCGCTGGGTGCTGCCTGCTCTCTGTCCCTGCCAGTAAAACAGCCCATTTTGGAGCAGATTTGGGGCTCAAGCAGCTGTGCTGCTCTCTCATCCCCAGTGACAAATGCAGCTATGCATGTCCAATTTGTGAGAGGGGATAAGGACACGTGTTTGACCCCCCTGCCAGCTCAGAAGGTCCTGTTGCTCCAGCAGCCTCCTCAGCAGGGATGCACAGTCAGGATTATCCCAGCTTTGACACTGAAACTATTTGAAATACAGAACCCATGCCAGACAAGGAAGGATGGGAGATGCTCTGCTCCTGGAAATTGCCTTGAAGTGCACCAGGAAGGACCCACCTGCTCAGCTGGAGATGCTCCCCCAGCACCTGTAATTGTGGGTCAATGGCACAGCTCAGGGAGAGACTCAACCTGTGCAGTAATGCTTTAGTTTCTGGGGGCACCAATGGGGATGTCAGCCTGGCAGAAACCCCAAATTGTGCGACATCTGTGCTTGGAGGAAGCTGTGCTTGGTATGCCATGCCTGGGATTTATGTGCCTTCCCCCACCCTGCACATCCTTTCCCAGGAGCTCCAGGTCTGCACAACCTGCCTCCACATCCCATGGTGCTGCCAGGACCTCCAGGTCACCCCACAGCAAAGCAAAGCCGTGCCACACACTCCAAATGCCATCATCTGCTCCTTCCATGGGGGGACACCCCGGGCAGTGGCACATCCCTGGGGCACAGGGGACAGGCGATCCCTGCTGTGGCCTGGAACTGGAGGGGACAGGGACAGCCCTGCCCGCAGCCAGACCCGCAGGATGAGCCCTTCCTGGTGTCGCAGGGAGCTCCAATGCCCAGGACAATGCTGTGCCCTGGGGGTGAGGAGGAGCCGCCCCCAGCATCTCTCCCCCTCTGCACAGCCCCGGTCCCGCCCAGGACACCAAGCCCCGGCGATTTTCCCTTCTCCTGCAAACGAAAGACTCACCGCAGCCATCCTTTGCTCCAGAACGAGCTGCTGAGGACAGGGAGCACCAGGAATGCCCCCCTGAGGCTGTCCCCTTAAATCCCTTCTGGGAGCACCCTGGCCCTCCCTCTGCTGACCACCGCTCCGGGCTGCACAATGGGAAATCTATGCAGAAATATTTTTCCCACAACGCCTTCCAAATCATACACACAGCCTGCAATGCTAATAGGCTCAGAGGTATTATTGAGGGGGTTTAATTCACTTTTCCAAGCTCCCTGGGCAAGTGGAAAGGGGAACTCTTTCCCTCTGTCCCCGCTCCTTGCACCAGGACCCACATCTCAGTCTGTGGAGCTGCTTTTGGAGGAGATTCAGGCAGAGAGGAGCAGTATCAAGGCTGGGTTGGGGTTTAGGGGTGCACATCTCAGTCTGTGGAGCTGCTTTTGGAGGAGATTCAGGCAGAGAGGAGCAGTATCAAGGCTGGGTTGGGGTTTAGGGGTGTGTGCTCCTACAGCTATGACTGAGCCCAGCAGCCCCTGGGGGACACAGAAGGATGTGAAATGGATTGCAGCAGCAAGGCACAGGAGCACAGACCCAGCTCCATGGGATGTCTGCAGCAAAATGTCCAGCTGAAACTCCCCAAAGAGAAATCCTGGGGCTGCTTGCACTTTCCTGGGATCTGGGCATCCCTGGGGTGCAGCTCACAGGGGCTGAGCAGAGGAGGGCAAGCAGGGCAGGGGTAAATCCAGGCTGGGCCTAGATGAGGGCACAGGGCTGTGTGGATGGGGGTCCCAGGTGAGGTCCCTGGGGCCAGTGAGGCACATGAGTGTCCTTGGGCACCAGCACAGCTGCTCTGCACGGCTGCACCAGGCAAGGAGAGGCCATGGAGGAGGTGATGGGGTGACCTGCTTGGTCATCAGCATCCTGGGAGAAGAAGACCAAGCCTGGGCTCTGAGGAGGTGTTTTGGTGTGAAGAACTAACTTTGATTTTATTGTAGATAGTGTTCAGGTTGAGTCTGCTTACAGTATTTTGAGATAAAAACTCTCAGGCTGTGGCTCAGCCCATCCTCTGGCTTTCAGCTTGCAAGGAGCAGAGGAAGGGAGTGGGAGCCATGGAGGAGCAAAGCAAGGAAGGATCCAGAGCATCCAAAGCATAGATGTACCCTCTGTCCTGGCTCTGTGGGGCAACCCCATATCCAGAGACCCTGTGAGCACCTCTGGGGCAGGGGGGCTCAGCACACAAGCCAGGGAGAGCAGGGCTGTTGTCCCACACTGCAGCACAGCCTGAACAAAGCCGTGCTTGTCTCCCACGCCATCTCACATGAGCGAGGTCTCCAGATACCAGTGCCAGCCCGGGGGAACATTGCTCTGAGGGGAAAACAGGGCAGGAAGGAGCAGCCAGTGCTGGGAGGCCGTGAGGGTCTCACGCTGCCAGGGGAGCACAGCCCTGGGGCTGCATGCCAGCCATCCTGGGGGCTGTGCTGCCCCACACAGGCAGGGCTGAGCAGCTCAGCTGCCTTGAAACCCCAGAGAGATGCTCAAGCCGGTGGGTACTGTTGCAGACTACTTTTATGAAAAATCCTTTCCTTAAGATTTTTCCTCCTGAGAAGCTGAGAGGCCTCAGGAACAAAATGTAAACATTGATTATCTGCTGCTGTGGAATGCAACAGGTAGATCTTTGATTGGCCCATGTTGGATGTTTGTAATTAATGGCCAATCACAGTCAACTGGCTCGGACAGAGAGAGCCAGGCCACAAACCTTTGTTATCATTCCTTCCTATTCTATTCTTAGCCAGCCTTCTGATGAAACCTTTCCTTCTATTCGTTTAATATAGTATAGTTTTAATGTAATATATATCATAAAATAATAAATCAAGCCTTCTGAAACATAGAGTAAGATCCTCATCTCTTCCCTCATCCAAGAAACCCTGTGAACACGGTCACAGGGTACCACCAGGGCTGGGATGCCTGGAAGGTTACACACCAGCAGCCTTCAGCATCCCCAGGAGTCCCTTGGGGTTTTCTGCTCTGGCTGGTGTCACACAGCACCGCCCGTGGCTCCTGGGACGCCCCGCCAGCTCCTCCAGCCCTGCCACTGGCTGGGTGGTGGCAAAGAAGGTTAAACGTGGGTGAGGCGGGGAAGGAAACGGCCTCAGGGCAGTGCAGGCAGCGGTACAGCCTGCCAGGAGCATCCTGGAGAGCCTCAGCCTGCATCTCATCCCTGTCTGCAGCACGGCAAGAGAAGATTGGGGGCAAAGCCAGCTCATCATTCCAGCCCGGGTCCTGCCCCGTGGGTGCTCATTGCAGAGCCTTGGTCAGTACCTCCCTCCTGAAGCGGGTCCTGGGGGACCAAGGTCAGGCCGTTTGTCCCTCCTCAGACTCCTGCAGAGGGTCAGGGACAGACATTTCCCAGCCATGAGCAGGGAAGGGGTGATTTGGGATGATTTGGGGTGATTTGGTGCGGGAGGAGGTGGCTGGCTGGCGGCAGGGCCGGGAGGCACTGGGGTACCCTGCGCCTGGCAGGAAACCACAGCTGGGGGGACAGGAGGGTGACATTTCCTTGCGCTGAAATGCAACCACCGGCATTGCCTGGCAGTGTGCGTGTGGCACCGAGCCACCGCTGCTGGCACAGCGCCCCGCACACACCAGCGGGGCTCTGTGCCAGGAGACCCCCATTCCCCACAGCAGGGCGACTTTGCGGGTGACACCGGGCGCCGTCGCACCGCGGGTGATTTTGCGGGTGATTTTGCGGGGGTGACATTGCGCGCCGCGGGCTGAGCTCTGGCACGGCACCGGGGGTGGGATGTGGCCGCGGCAGGCGGGGACAGGGGGCGGTGACGCTGTGGCCGTGAGGAAACAGCTGCTGGCCAAGGACGAGCGCTCGGCCCCGCGCACAGCCCGAGCGCGGCCGCGGCTCCTGCGAGCGCACCCGGCGAGAGCTCCGCGCTGCCGGTCAGTGCCCGCCCGGGCCGGGGCACCGCGGCTGCGGGGCGGGGGTGCGGGGCGGGGTGCCCGACCGGGACGGGCACTTTTTACCGCAATGGCCTGGGGGGAGGAAAGTCGTGGAAAGCCTTGGCTGGGCTGGGCGGTGAGCTGCGCAAGGGGAGGCTCCATCCAAGGGGTGGCTGTAGGGGGAATCCCTGCGGTTTTTGTTTTTATGAAAAATCTTTCCTTCCTGGCAAACCGCGGGGGCTGCTGTGCTGCCGGGGCTGCTTTTGAGGTGGGGGCTGCGGGCCCCGCTGGGTGTGTCCCGGCCGGGATGCGCCTCAGTCCGTGCGGGCTTTGGTGCTGCGGCGGCTGCGGAACCGCCCATCCCTCCTGCCCTCCTTCCAGCGGGATCCAGGCTGGGGAGGGATCCCCCTGCCTTGGTACCCACCAAGCTGTGCACTGGTAAAGGCAGGCCACAGCAGCCCCGGGGCCCGGAGCTCCGCAAGGCCTGGGAGCTTTTGGCAGTGGGGTGGGGCGGGCATTTTGGGGAAGCCCTGCAGGAGGATGGTCCGGTATTTATAACCCGGGGAAGCTCCCTTTGCTCCAGGACAGGGGGTGGCGGGGTGCTGGGTGTTGTGGCTCTATGCTGGGGGAGCCCCCCAAGCCAGTCGGGCTCTTGGGGTGCAGCCCTGAGCTCACAGCTCTGGGGGGGCTTTGGGGAGCCTGGAGGGGTGCACTGCTGGCAAAACAAGCTTCCACAGAGGCTGTGTGCATCACTCAGGATTTCCCACGGGATCCCCATAACCCACATGTCTCGGTTGTTGGGTGGGGGGCAGGTGTACCCCCATGCTGCCCGATGGACGGGCTGTGTTTGTGCGGGGATTTTCGCGGGGCTGCTCTCCCGGGATCCGCGCAGGTGTCACCAGCAGCGGGGACAGGGACGGGACACTACAAGGACAGCTCGGGGACTGGGTGTGGTCGGCGATTCCCCAGCGCTGCCGAGATGAGCTGGGTGTTCTCAGCCCCGCTGCCGCATGGATGGAGTGAGGGAGCGGGGCTGGGCCATGCTGGGATTTCCCCATGCCCAGGAGGTTTCACAGGCTCCAGAGGGGCATTACCAGGCTGCTTGTGCCGGGTGGGACCCCTTGGCACCCACCCAGCATCCGCAGTGCGGCCCCACTGCCTGCGGGACGTGTGGGGCTGTCCCCGGGCAGCAACACGGGAAGGGGCGAGGCTCACACCCTCCCCGGCTGGAGGGAAAGGGGAGGTGAAAGCAGCTCCGCGCTTCTGCAAAACTCTCTCCCCTCAGGCACGGAGCCTGTGGGTGCTTTTGGAAGCTCCCTGTGCCCAGGCAGGGACACCCAGCTGCACAGATGGTTGTGGGGCTGGGGTCTCCCCTTGCATGGGAGCCCCCGCAGGGATGTGCAGCCAAGGCATGGGAAGTTCATGTGATTTCTCCTGCCCGCTCCATGGCATGAAACCGAACTCCTGTGGGTCAGAAATCCCCCGGGGTGGCCCTGCTCTGCTCTGCTCTGCATTTTTCTGCGACGTGTCTCAGAGGGAGGGTGAAGGAGCCAGGCGGGGCCTCAGCTGACGCTCAGCGGTTCATTCATGGCCGGGCTCCATTTTCCAGCTGTTTTTCTCCCTCTACCAGCTTCTTCTGGAGCAAATGGCGCTGCTGGGGGACTTTCTCTGGGAGAGTGGGGAGAGCCCACACAGCAGTGGGTTGCAGTTATAAATGGTGCTGGTGTTAGAAAACAACCTGCGAGTTACCCTGGAAACCCAGCTGTGTTTCTTGGTCTCCAAGGATGTGTGGGACTGGTGGTGGCCTTGATGGCTGCACAGAAACTCAGATAACAGCTCTGGGGATGTTGTGGGGGCTGCCCAGCACCACGAGACAAGGAAATGTCCCCAGCAGCTGCTGAAGCTGGAATGGCCCCAGGGTTTGGGGCTGCAGGGGAGCAGAAGGGACATTGAGGGGTGCAGGGAGAAGGCCCAGCCCTGCAGAGGATGCTCGGCCTGTTTCCACGTATTCAGCACATTTTTCTCCTCTGGTTTCTCTTGGTACTGACAGGAAACTGTGCAGGCTCTGCTCTGTCCCTGGCCTGTGGGGTGCCCTCAGCGCCAGATTCCAAAGGCTCAGTAACCACAGGGTGGCTGTGCAAAGCCAGCAATGCCCCTCTCCCTGCTCCATCCTGCAGCACCTGGCAGTGCTCTCCCCTCTCCCTGCTCCATCCACGGCAGTGCTCTCCCATGGGCACCACCCCCAGGAGGGAGCAAACCCTCCCTTGACTCACCCAGCCTGCAGAGAGGGGCCTTGGCTCACACTGACCTCTCTGTTCCCTTCCACAGCTCCTCCCTGCCCTCACGCCAGTGATTTCCAGCTTTGAACCATGGCACCCCAAGGAAAGGTAAGGGTGACCTCCCCAGGGCGGGGCTGGGCCCAGGGCAGCCCCCAGGGCTGGGGCAGTGTCTCCAGCAGCAGCAGCAGGGATGGGGTGACGTGCATGGACACCGTGCTGCCCAGAGCCTGTTTACATTCCTGCCTCTCCAGCCAGTGCTGTCTGGATGTGATGCAGATGGGGGAAGTGCTGGGCTGGGGAGCAGGGACAGCAAGGAGCAAAAATCCTTTTGGGACCACAGTGGGATGGGGAAGAGAAGCGGGGCCATGGGAAGGGGAGGAGAGGAGATGTTGCACTGGGGATTTGGGCATTTGATGGAGAAAACTCCTGCCTGAGCATGCTGCAAGGCATGCAGCCCTGTTTGGGCCTTTCCCCTCTCCCAGCCTGGATTATTTCCCACTCCGGGCTGGTGCAGTGTGGCAGCTGTGTGAGCAGGTGCTCCCCTGCAGCCAGGAAAACATCTCGGTGTGGGTGGAAGCCCTGCCTCGATGGGCAGGCGTGGCTGGCTCGGTGCAGCCTGCCTGCTGCCAGGGGAGGAGTCCCAGCCCAGAGCCTCCTTCTGCTCTGCTGGGGCCAGGCTCTGCTTCCCATCCCCTGGAGAAATCCAGCAATCATTCCCTCCAACCTTACTGCCCAAAGCTTCCTGCCCAGCTAAGGCAGTGGTTGCTCTGGGTGGGGAAACTGAGGCACAGTGCAGCATTTTCCTGCAGCAGCCCAGGACCCCGAGCAGCCATGGGGTGGGAGAGAGCAAAGCCACGCTGGGAATTTCGCTTCCACCCTCCTGGCCCCAGTGTGGCTTATTTTTAGCTGGGAGGTCCGGGACAGGCCAGGATGACTCAGAGGCTGGAGGAGGGGAGGCAGGAGGCCCCTGGCAGCTGAAACAGCACGGAAAGGGGGAAGGGGGTATGAGGAGTATGCAGTGGCCAGGATGCTGTTTCCATCCCAGCTGATGTTCCCACACTTGCCTGGGGCTCATTCCCACACAGAATGCAGGGAGTGTGGGGTGATGCAGAGCACTGAGCTCCTGCCTCAGTTTCCCTTGCTCCAGCAAGGCAGGCAGCTCATGCTTTGATGGCTCAGCAGGCAGGAACACAGCCCTGCTCTTCCTCTCCATTTAACCAAAGCCAACATCTCGACTTCCCAATACCCTCCAGCCACCTTGTCCACTCCTGCTGCCTCCAGGCACCTCTGCCTTGCAATTTATTTCCATGCCTGTAAGGCATGTGTGTGGGAGCAGCTTGTGCCAAGCCAGGAGGGTCTGGGAGCTGCTGGGAAGTGGGGCTAAATCCAGCTCTCCTGATGAATCACCTGCAATACGATCTGTCCCGTGCCTGCCTGGTTCCCTGGAAGGGCAGCATCTCCTCTTGGGGACACCAGTGCCAGCAGCTCCTCCCAGGAGGGCCTGTGGGATGTGCTCAGCTTCTCTCTGGAGAACAGGAGGAGAGAGGCTGGTTTGTTTGTGAAGGTGCTGGGGGCATGTGCAGCAGAGCTGCTGTGACATTGGGATGGGAGCCAGGAGAGCTGCCCTGAGTCCATCTCCTTGGGATCATTCCTGGAGGCACTTCCTGGGTCAGGGACATTGATGCCCATCTTCTCTGAGGATATGTTGGCTTTAGTTGTCCATGCTGGCAGCAGGCCTGGGCCCTTGTGCAGCTCCTGAGATCTTCAGGAAGCCGTGCAGCAGATCCTGAGCAGATGAGCCCAGGGAGGTGCACAGACCCAGCTGGCACAAGCAGAGCCAAGGGAGGATGCTCAGTTTCCCAGAGTGCTGACACAGCTGACAGCCCCAGCTCAGCTCCCAGCCCTCCTGTTTGTCAGCATGACAGCTAAAGAAATGCTGCCGCTCAGTTCTCCCCACTCTGTGCCTCTGGTGGGGATGTATCCCAGTTCCTCATGTGGGGCCAGGATGGTTTCACCTCTGCTTTCACCCAGGGGGATGCTGATCTCATTCAGGCTCCCATGGTGTGAATTCCCTGAACAATGCTGACCTGGGAAGGGGGATTTTGGTCCCTGCTTTTTCCTGAGGTCTCTGGAGGTGTCATTCCTGGCCAGTCTGGATGTGGCTGAAGAGCAGATAGAAGTGGCTCATATCAACCCCCAGGATCCCTCAGGCTCTCAGGAAAGCCTTTCCCAGTACCCAGGGTCTCTGCTCCAGCCCCTTGGATCAGCCTGGGCCCCACGGCAGTGCATGGTGGAGCAGGACACGCTGTTGGCAGCTCTGGTGCTTCCCAGAGTTTTCCATTTAGAAGCCCATTTGTGCCTGTAATTTTGTCTCATCCTCAGCATCCAAAGTGGTTCCTTGCTTGCAACGGGCAGTGGAAAATTAATTCCCTCTGTAGGGAGAGTAAACAGGAAAGGGAACAACTGCAGAGGAAAACAACTGTTTATGTCTGAGCTTGAGCTTTGCCTTGGGCAACCTGAGCATAATGGATCTGACCTCACTCCTGCTCAGCTTCAATTTCTCCTTCTCCATCCCTCTGGGGCTGCTCCTTCCTCTTGTACCTTCTCTCCTCCTTTCCCACAGGTCTACAGGGGCTCAGTGAAGGATTTCCAGGGCTTTGATGCCAACCAGGATGCAGAGGCCTTGTACAATGCCATGAAGGGATTTGGTATGGATGCTCCTCAGACTGTCCTAGGGCTACCCCTGGTGTCCCTTTTTCCTTGGTGTCCCTTTCTCCCTGGTTGACCCTTGCATCGCTGGGTGTCCTGCATCCCTTCCCCTCTCAGCTGGCTGACTCTCCTGGTTTCCTCTCCTCCCTGGAGCCAGCTTGGCTCTGCTTGTCCTCCCAGCCCCAGCTCCAGAGCAGCTCTGAGCACAGCAGGCTGGCTGTGGTGACTCCTGGCTCTCCCCACAGGCAGTGACAAGGAGGCCATCCTCGACCTCATCACCTCCAGGAGCAACAAGCAGCGGGTGGAGATCTGCCAGGCCTACAAGTCCCTCTATGGGAAGGTAAAGCCAGGAGCACCCCCTGCCCCTTGGCCCCACTGCAAACACAAGTGGCTGTGGCTGCCACCCCCCAGCCCATGCAGGGGCCCAGCACTCCCTGGAGCCACTCAGAGATGCTGTGGAGCAGAGGATCCCCCAGCCCCTTTCTGCCCCTCCACCAGGACCTGATTGCAGACCTGAAGTACGAGCTGACGGGGAAGTTTGAGCGGCTGATCGTGAGCCTGATGCGGCCCCCAGCCTATGGAGATGCCAAAGAGATCAAAGATGCCATCTCGGTGAGGAAGGGGTGGGCACCCTCCCAGGGGTGGGCACGCTGCCCAGGGCCCCTCTGAGGGCACCCCAGCCAGCCCAGGGCTCATGGGGCTGTGTCTCTGCCCGCAGGGTGTCGGCACAGATGAGAAGTGCCTCATTGAGATCCTCGCCTCCCGCACCAACCAGGAGATCCATGACCTGGTGGCTGCCTACAAAGATGGTGAGGGCTGAGAAAGGGAAGGGGCTG